CCTGACGACTCTGGAGATGGCAAACTGGAGGACAACTTGCGTGGAGCTTGGGGAGGGCTTCCCTGGCGTGTGCCTGTGGTCCTTTGCAGTTCAAAGTTAGTTTGTTGGCAAAGGCGACCCAGTGAGGCTCTCACTCCTGCAGGACCCTAGCCTGTGGCCCCACCGGGAAGTTGAAGGGCTTTCCCAGCCATCACAGCCCCCGGTGTCCAGTCTGCACTATTAGCACAGTGTGGCCACCATTGCTTCAGATGCCGCTTTGACCCTGGAGGAAGCCGTCCTCTCCTTTGCTAAACATGGGAAGCTTTCCCAGCTCCCCTTTCTTCATGCTCCTTCCCAACCATGGCACCCACTCCAGTTCATTCTGGCTTCTGGACCTTCTTCCTCCCCAGCCATCACGATGGATGTGCTGCCCCACTGCCTGCTCATCCCAGGGAGTCCGTCAGCAATGGCCTCGCTCATTCAACAAGCATACCGAGGGCCCACAGCGTGTCCAGCCCTGCGCCTGACTGGGTTCTGCCCTCGGCTACTGCAAGTCTGTCCCCGTGTCGCCCTTTCCCCATGCTCCAGCATGAGTTCTCGGTCCTCTAGGGAGAAGTGGAGAAAGGCAGGCCCTAACGGAACATGCTTGTGTCTTATATCTATTGAGCCTCTTAGGTTAGAAGATGTTTTATTTATTTGTATTCCCTACCAGGCCCAACACGATGCAGAAAGGCCTCCCGCTCCCAAAAACAGAATGATTAATGAACTGATGCTAAGTTGGAACAGACGGAAACTTCAGAAAACTGTGACTTCCAATTTTTAAATGGCTGTTTTGGGACAGAAGCGGCTGACTGCACCTCGGGACAAAGAGGGCAGCCCAAGGAGAGACGCTGAGTTGGGACGCCGCAGGCTGGTGGGCCGCTGCCTAACTGCTGCTGCGGCTGCTGGGAGCTCACAGCTGTGTTTTCCTTTAAGGCCCGAGGGGTGTGACTGACTAAGGAAAAGGCCTCTAGTCCTGGCTCCCCATTAGGAAACCTCCCTTCATCCCAAGCCGGTAACATGGCATCTCTATGTACGTACCACGGCCTTTCCCTCCAGAGTCAGGGGCGCATGGAGAGGGGTGCCAGTGCTGCCCTCCCCCGACCTCTCGGCTCCCAGGGGAGGCTCGGCTCTCCTGGCAACCGGGGAACACGAGCGGCTCTCGGCAGAGGGCATTGCAAGCTTATGGATGGGATGGTCTCTGCAAAAGCTGTCTGTCTGCTGTGCGAGACTCGGACGGCGATGTTCCCTGCTCCCTTCCTCCTTCCCCAGTGTTGTATCATTTCGGATCATTTGAATTGTATATGGCTTGCTATTTAAGTCAGTCATTTGCTGGCAGCCAAACTAGAACATTTCCTGTTTTTCCTCTCACTGTAATCAGGATTTGGCTGTCCAAATTAGGACTGCCCTAATTACTCCCCAGCAGGTGCCAATGTGGGGGAGGGCAAGAAGCGGGAGGAGAGGAAGTAAGGACACTTGGCATCTTCAGGCTCATACAAAAGGAAAGACTCTCCCGCCAGCGTGAACACCTGATTCAGTGAGAGACCACAGGCACCGTGGGCTGTACGTGCTGGGTGCGCACTGTTGTAGATTTCTACATGGGCATCCGACCTGTAGCCCAGCGTGCTGCGAATGCGGCCCAACACACCACTGTAAATTAACTTAGAACATTATGAGATTTTTTGTGTGTGATTACGTCACAATGTATATAATGTGTGGCCCAGAGACACCAAAAACGTCAGATACCTCAGCAGAACAACCATATCAATGATTTTCTATTTTTTTCCCTCAAAGCTTCACAGGTTTCTGTTTCCCGGCCCTGAGAGAAAGCACCCTGGGCCTGTCCTTCGGCACCAGTGGTACATCACTGCGGATGCCACCCTGCAGACGGGAGGACCTCAGAGTGGGCACGCTCCAGGGGACTGGGCCAAGAGGGATACCAACGTGGCATGCTGGGCTCTACGGGGAGGGGATCGACACGCTCTTGATGAGAACCAACGGCGATGCGCATGGTCCCAGCACAGCGTTATGCCGGAGATACAGCTGCACCGTCTGGACAAAAGGGTGAAATATAAATGACGGAGAAATAGCTCAATTCCTATAAGAAGGACAGACCATGGTTACCACCATTCATGTTCCTGCCTTGAGCCAGCCAGTCGACGTGTTCCTGACCTCCCGCCCCACTCGCCAGCCAGAATGCTATTTCCTGCTATTCGCCCCATACGCCCCATAATTTTCAACAGCGTTTTTTAAGTATAAATATACACTTTTCTCCTATTTCAAATAACACACAAAACAAAACAAAAAGCCCTGTTCATATAAGAAGGTAAATTATAGACATTGGGTTAGTTTAGAATTATAGACACAATTCTAGAACAGAACACAAAGAAGGTTTGTGACCGATTAGGGCGTGGTCCTCCCCAGGAGCTGGGGAGGCTGTACGTGAGTAAGTCACGTGGCTTTACCCCCTCCCTACTAACCGGGTAAGTCTTTGACCCGGCAATGACCCAGCATTCTCCATTTCTGAATGAAGAAATGGTCGGTTTGGCTCAGGGTCAAGAGACCTTGTTTCCAAGGGCAATTTGTAAGCTGTCCAAGATGAGAGTCCTTAACGCAGGTTTGGCAGAACAGAGAGCAGAGAGTCCTAAAAGTGAAGGGAAGGCAGGGTTTCTGAACAGAGACCTAGTGCTGTCCACTGCTGGCTTGTGACAGCCCGTGTTGGGGAGACGGGAGGGACAGGTAGCTGCCTTAAGGGATTAGGCCTGGGAGGTCACCATCAAGAAATCTACGTCTCTTATAGGGTGCATGATAATATATGAGAGGTGCTGTCATGAAGGGTGGTAACGGTGATCTTTGTCATCGTTGGCTTTGCCATCAAAATAGCAGCTAAGCATCTTGGAGGGAGCTTACTTTTTTGCTGATGACAGTTTTAAGAGGCTGACATTTTCAAGACAATCCCATGAAGGAAGAACTGTTATCTCTTTTTGCAGATGAGAAAATTAAGGCACAGAGTGGCTGAGTAACGGTTCAAGGTCATATAACTGAAAACTGGGAACGCTAGTACTCAAATTTAGGCTCCAGAGCCGGCTCTGAGCTACGGTCTGGGCTGAGAGTTAGAACACACATGGACTCCGGAAGTGTGGACTAACGTATGGATGTCAATCCCAAAGGAAGTCTCGAGAGACACGCCCCCAAACTGTTGATTTAGCTGACCTGCCAAACATTTTAAAAAATGATATAAAGAAACTAAAAGATTGCTTATAAGATCAAGAATGACAGGAAATTTGAAGGAATAGCTAAGATTTTCTGATGACATATGAGAACTCAAAAATATCTCAATAGACTAAAATGATGAGCTAAAAGTAACATTAAATTCAATGGGTACACGTGAGATCTGGAATTTGAGGTTAAAAAAGCCCCTACAAGTACAGCATGAAAAAGACAAGGCTAATTTCAACTATTTCTTCTCACAGCTGTTCTTTATTAACCCCTCCAGCCAACCAGTGGCCATGCCCTGCAAATGCACCACCTTCATGTCTCCGGATCTGTCCCTACCGGCCATCTCCCTGCCTCTCCTCTCATTCAGAGACCTGCTACCTGGGTCTTCTACCTGCACACACCTGCCTGTCCAATCCACTTATACGAAGCTCAGGAAAAATGCCCTACCATGCAGGTCTGCACCTGGCACTCCCTGCTTCTCACCTTCATCGGCTCCCCGCTACCTGATTTAGGCCAAGTTCCTGGAGCCTGGCATTCGCATCCTCCGCAATGGGGGCTCAGCCTGCCTTTCCAAAACCCCAAATTCATCATGTGTTCTTCCTTTTCCCACTCTTCCCTACTTCCTTGCCCTTGCTCTGCTTCCTTTCTTCCCACAGCTCCTTAAGCCTGAATCCTGTCTGAATCTGCCTCCTTCACAAGGCCTACTTCACATCCTTCGCCAGGCCTTGCTGGTCCTCCTCAGGTAAGGTCTTCCTCCTGTGGCATCTTGCCATGTTTTCTGCCATAAATTAATGCGGTGGATATGTCCTAATGCTGTACACGTCCTGTTCCTCTGCCCCCATTTCCCTTTCTGTCCTCTACCAAGAATGGGAGCTCACGCAGGTGCAGCCTGCAGCTGACTGATGACGTCTCCGCCCCGACACGCTCACTCACTCACTCACACCGTGTCGGGGGCCTGGACAGCGCTTGGTCAATATCCGACACGTGCAACGTGCAAGGACAGACGGAACAAGCCGCGCTGTGCACAGATGTACTTCACCTACCTATGCTTAATTATCATATAAATTTATTATTTTATTATACATTCTTGTCTCCCCTCATTGCTGTAGGTCTTGTCAACCAGACTATAATTTGTTCCGATTATTAGCTCTTTATGAGAAGTGCTATGATCTTTTCCAGAAGCTCAAAGAGATTTCTGAACCCAGGGTAAAGAAATTAGAGGAAAAAACTACAGGTTTTCAAGTTCATAACAATGGTTTTTCATTTCCACTGATGCTAAAAACAGTGTAACTGTCTTTTCATGACAGCGGGAAGGCTACAGATCAAACATTAAGAGGAATACATTTGTAAGAAGTAAAAATAAATCATACTATAGATTATTAAGAGTTCCTGGGAGTTTGAAATTGCTTTACTTTAAAGATCGTTTAGAATCATGCAAGGGACTAACCAAGTTCTGGAATTTCCTCAAGGAAGGGGAACCTTAGGACTCTCAGCCTTCATGAAAATCACAGCTGACACCTCAACAAAGCCACCGCTGGCGGCCCCACGTGGCTCTATCCCTCTGTCCCTTTCATCCCCTTGGTGGGAATGGCTGCAGAACCCTCCAGGAGACTACCTCTGGGGCACGTGTTCTCATCAGGCCCCTTGACAAACCAACAGCAGCCCTTTCCCTACTAGGGAAACGTCAGGCCCTGCGGCAACCTTGCCAAGCAGAACAATGGTCTGGCTCTAAAGTGCCGTCTCAGGCCCAAGGGCAGCCCTACCTGTAGGCGGCGGCACAGGTGTCCTTGTACTCCTGCAGCTTCACGCACACCATGCTGAGGAACTGGTCCGAGTACGCGCTGAGGTCATGCATCAGGTTCAGGAGGTCTTGCACCGTCTTCTCCACGATGATGGTGCTCTGGAGAGGGACACGGAGGGAGCTCATGAGGTTTTCCATTTGTTCTTTGTTTTTACGCACTAACGTGTGACACAAGGAAGGACAACTGAGCTAATGTGATCATTCAAGACACTGGAGCTTTCCTGAAGGGATGTGACATTTAGAAATACTGGTTAAAATGACAACACAAGAAGTATGCTATGCAGAGCAGTCCTTCCAGATATCTGAGAAAGTGTCTTCTGTGCAGGGACAGGGGGTTTCAAATCGGCCTCATGGAGTTCTGGCCATTCACTGGCATCTTGGTGGCTTTGCAGAAAGTGCATACATATTCAGCTGGGGCCTCACTCGCTACCTCCGGGGCTCTGCTTTGAGAGGAGGGACCCACGACAGGCACCGCAAGGAAAAAGCCTTCCATGATTCGCTTTAAAGGTTTCAAAACCATCAACCCATCAGGAAAGAGCAGGCTGATTCTATCCTCACAGGCTGTAGAATGTCTGTGCACACACAGCACGTGCTACCTCGCTGCAGACTCACGTAACGCTCCTGACGATCACGGACATTTTCTGGGTCCCTAGAAGTACAAGGTGCCATGCTGGGGCTCCACAGGCTTTATCGCATTCAATCCTCTGAGCACGCCTACCTACCTGGTGTCCCGTAATCATCTCCAGTTTGAAGATGAAGAAACAGACTTAGGAAAAGGGAGTCTCTCTTACCTCCACCATTCTGCCTCCCTCCCTTCTGGCGCTTGGTTCTGTCTGTAGCCTCACCCTCTCCTCATGAGGCCCCAGTATTTCCTATGTTGGTGGCCCTGCGGGAGGAGTGCCCACACGGACTCAGGCACACTCAGAACTGAATTAGAGAAGCTCCTGAAGGAAAAGTACGCCCGTCTCACAGCTACAGACAGGGGGTGCTCTGCAGTAAGTCAGTGTGACGTCTAAAGAGAGGCACTCCGAGCAAATTCTCAGTCTTGAAGAGAAGGCTGAGTGGTTTATCAAACCATTCGAGTTCACGCCTCCTTCAAAAGGAGCAGAATGACGTTGGGATTAATATTAATCACATGCTTAGCAGTTTGGAATCCTCTGGTCGATAAATGACTTGTTAAACACGTATTTATTCAGATAGAGTGGCCTAAGCTATGGTAGACCTGGCCATAAAGCACACAATGAAAAAATGTTCCCGATCTGACAGTGACCATGAGAGAACCAAAGGCGTTTTACTACGCTTCAGTGCAGACTAGGGGTGCGGGGTTTTGGTTACTGTTTTCGTCCTGAAAATGAAAGGAAGGGACAAAAGTGTACAGCGTTTCTGTAAACGATGGAGAATTGGCGTGAGTTGCGTGTTTACAGGGGCGTGTTTATTCAAGATTATTTCATTGTGCAGGTTCCTTATCTTCTTTCCCGACCCCACTGCCCCAAAGTGAAAGAGTCAGAAGGTGAAAAGGAAGAAAGTTATATTTGTTACAGCAAACCAAATTACCGTCTCTACAGAATCCCCGCAAGTTCGGCTTCCTTCTCCGTATTGATTTTAAGATTAAAACACTGCAGCTTCACCCTGGTCCATAATCCCGTTTCTCTGTCTCTGTGTGTGAGTGACAGGAATTGATTCTGCTTAGCTGCATGTCCCCACGCTGCTAAGAAGAATCTAAAAGCCTCCTCCGGATTCAGAACATAGGCTCTGCTACAACATGTGGACAGAAATTAATAAAGGAGAGTGGAGTTCAGCCTTCCTAACAAAGCCCCTGTAAAATCCAAACCGCTGCAGGGAAGATGGGTGTGGGGAGACGGCTGAGATTATTGCGAGACAAGGCCTGGCTCTATTTCCAATTATGTGATTGCTAATCAACTGTGGGGCAGGTTTGGGTAACCTCTTCCTTTCTTATGACTCAATTTACTCTTCAAATAACTGAGGATAATTTGATGACTCCTCTAACCCATTGGCCCCTGTCTCCCAGGTATTCAGTCGGTGCACTGGCGCTTCTACACGAGGACATCAACACTGTGTAATTAATTGTTCCAGGTCATGCCAGGTGGGCTTGGGCTTCCCGGCCAGATCATCGATTTCTCAAAAGCACAACCGGCAAGTCTTCTTGTCCTTCTGTCCATCTTCCATTCTCCTCCTCTGCCACCTGTTTATAACATCTCAGGATCTTCGGGACAGTACTCCCAATAAAAGAAACTAATAATGTTGATGCGCATCAGTAAAGCTCTCTGAGTGTCGTCTGTGGGAAGGATGCCAGGCAGACATCTCTGCAGTCGGAAATCTCTCGGGGTGGAGTCGGAGTGGTCTGCATTTACCCCAGTTCTTGCGGATGACCAGCACTGGGTGGACGGTGGTCGGAGCCGAGGGGGAGACTGCAAGCCCGGAGGAGTATCCCCTGGAGATACAGGTTTGGGGTGAACAGGAAGCACCCGCAGGAAATGATGAGAAAGCCATGGTTTAATCTGAATGGTCGTGCTCACAAAGGGCCTTTGTGATGCTACATGATTACATACAATTTCCCAGCTCTCCGGCTGGTTTACCTTGTCATGGTCGCACTCTGGATAATCAATCACCACATTCTCTTCGAGGAAAATGACACTAGTTTGCCAAATGATGGGTATTTTTACAAGGGAAAAAAGTTCCCATTTTTCAAGCATCTATCACAATTTCCAAATCAGTGGCTCTGACAGGTAAATGTTGAAAGTATTCAGTTTCTAAAAAGGTCAGTTCTGTTTTCATTTACATGATCTCTTTGGCATCACAAATGCTTCATTGATTAATTTGGGGACTTGCCAATGTTGAAATACTTCCAATAAGTAAAACCCTGATTTTTATGCATTATAATTTCTACTAAACCTATCATAAATGATTGATATTTGCTCAGAAACAACTCAATTCTCGTTTCTTGCAACTTATTACTAGGTAATGAAGCCTGGGCATGACATGAAAAATGAGAAGACAAGAAAGAAAAATCCTCGAGTAGTTGATGCTGCGAACAACAAACAGCTGGAGCTTCTTGCAGGAAGGCAGCGTCGGCCTCAGACACCAGGAGGGCGTGGGAGCAGTGCACCCCTTCCGCTCTGTCGGACACCGAATGACCGAATAAATGAGGATGATTGCGCCTTTGAAGCCTGGCCCGTTTTTTTTCCAAAATGGGGCTCTGCAGCATTTTGGATACTGATAGTGGTATTACAGAAAATTTGTTCTAAGTTCAAATAATTGGACAAATGCTGAGTTAAAGAACACGGAATTGGTTCCTTCCCCGGAGGACCAGAAACTTTCCATACGCCGATGTCACTGTCGCTGTGAACCTGAAGGAGGGGAATGTGGTGTTGAAGCTTCCCCTAACAATCTAAGGACGGGAACATTTTTCATAGAGTGCCTTTTCACATCTACTGCAACAGTGCTTTGGAAATGGCTCTCCCCAGTTCTCTGGTCACACTGCTGAGGACATGAGGCTGGATGACAGGCTTGAGGACAGGCCAGGAGTCCCTCCTGGTAGGACAGGGTGAGAACCCAGGTCTCGTCCTTCTCAGTCCACGCCCTTCCTACTCACCGGCTTGTTAAGCCCTGGCTCCGTCTGCCGCTCTCCCTTCTCCCCAGCTCCCCTGCGCAGGCCCCCCCCGCCCCCCGCTCCAAACACACAAAACTCCTAGTCATTCCTTGATGGCGCCAGGCCACTTCCCGGCTCTGTGCCTTTGGGCTTCCCAATGCCTACGCCTCTCATCCTTGCAGAGGCAGCTCAAGCGCTACCTGCTCTGATTTAAACGCGCTTTGCTGCGCTGCCACAGTGCCCTGGGCAAAATTTTAGCTCAAGCCCCAAGCGGGGTGTGGCAACCACTGGTTCACATACTCTACTCTCTGCTGCTGGAGCAGAAGGTCCTTTGATCAGTGCCTACACCACTGTGTCTCTACAACTAACTCGCCAGGTACCTGGCACAGTGCGGGTGCTCAGTTAAGTGTTTGTCGGGTGAATCAATGCCGGTGCACAGCACATTGAGAGCAGGGTGAAAACACAGGTCTAAGGTAAAATTATAAAATCAAACAGGAGGTTAAGACCCTGACTTGGTAAGGTGGAATCAGACCACAGCCTCTGCGTTACTACTTTACTGCGTCTTAACTCCCATGTTGTAAAGACTGAACGTGTATTGTGACTACAAGTCTTAGACTTTTTTCTACCACAACATGCTGAATTTCACCTGGCTGTGTAATTTTCTATCATCCCAGTCGTTTTATATGCACAATAAAATGTGCTCATTTTAAAATTTTAAGACATATAAATAAATTTACAATTGAGGAAAAAAGACAATGAAAATTTGCACCATGCAGACTCTGGATTTGTGCAGTTTTAGCCCCTGGAGCGGGGATGGTTGATCAGAGACGCTGCAAACAGCCTAGGGTTCCAGGAAACTGCTGCAGGGAGAATTTGAAAGGAAGCATAAATAAATCATGTGTCGCTTCGGACACACCCTGCCACCATCAGCACCACGCAGCAGCAAGTGGGGAGGGAGGCGGCTGCCTGAATGTCTGATGGTGACAATAATGTTTCTTTACTGGAACATATTCAACTACAGTTCAATAAAACTTGTCATACTATATTGTCCTTCCAATTACTATCACCTCCAGGCTGTGGCTGGCTGTAAACAATAATAACCCCCGTCTTATGGTGGCAATCACTTTGTAGGCACACAAATATCGAATTACAATGTCGTATACCCAACAATTACACGTTATAGACCAATTTCACCTTGATTAGAAAAGTAATAACTAGCAAGGACTAATGGCAACAACCAAAAGCAAATCTGCTTTCTGATTTTTAATCTATATTTTGATTTGTGTGACATTGAGAATTTCTGAATGTGTTTGTTTTTTTTAAGGAGCCAGCTGGGCAAAGGCTCCGCATCCGGGCGCTGGTGCCTGGGGACCGGCACGGCCCCTCTCCTCCGAATCACCCTCCACCTCACAGGCCGAGGTGTCTGAGCAAGCTGTGTCTCCCACAGAAACGAGTGCTCACGTCCAGCAAAGACATGGACACAATGCTC